CTTTCATATTGAGGGAGCGGGGGGATTGCTTGGCAAGCACATAGATGGCAGGTGGGGAGACAGCCACCTCAGAGGGTAGGCTAGCGGTTTTGGTGCTCTTTCTGGTCGAGGGTGCGATTTTCCTCTGTTTCTTAGCAATCACCCAGTGGAATTTGGACAGCAGCGCAGACTCGCGCATCTTTCTGTATTTACACTGGGTATCGTTGCTTGCAGGCGGCCGGGACGCATCATTCACTGGTCACCTTCTTGAAAATCTGCAGAGGGGTTCCCTTCCTCCCTCTCCTCCTCGTTCCCCTCGGGTGTCCCCATCAGCTGGCTCCTCAGCCCTTCTGCGAGTACTCGGAGGTCTTCTGGGTGCATGCGGCATACTCGGCGGACCTTCGGGAGGGGGCAGTCTCGTGCGAAGTGCCCAGGGGCATTGCAATTGTGGCATAGCCCTCGTCGTTGGTCTGCCCTTGAGCGGTCGAGGTCCATCAGCTGAGGTAGCAGGGTTGTAGTCGTGGGGGTAGTAGGGGTCGCGGCGGGTCGTGGTGGTGGCCCCGGTGGCGGGCGCAGGGGGGTCTGAGAGAGTGACGGCGACGGTCTGGCAGGGGGGAGGGGTGACTTGAACAGGGGGAGTCGGGGTTGAGTCGCCTGGAAGCACCGCCATTGGTTGTCAAGGAGGGTGGCCTCTTGTTTCCATTCTGCCCAGGTCCTTGGCATGGGGCGCAGACAGTAGATGCTCTCATGGAGCCGGGTGTTGATCGCTTGTTCGAAGCGGTCTACCAACCCTACATCACCTAGCCGTGAAGCGGGACCGTGGATTTCGAACTCTTGGATGATTTTATCCACGGAGTCGGTGCCTTGCCATAAAGTGGCAAGCTTCTGCCTGGCAGTGGCTTCCCGGTTGAGGTCTTGAAACATGGTGTCTAGCTCTGCCATGAACTCGTCCATAGTGATCGCGGGGGATCCCGCTGTCAGCAGCGCGATCGTGCGCTGTGTTGCCCATGCTCCTGCAGCTCCTCCTTTCATGTACGACAGGACGAAAAGGATTTGGGATAGGGTGTCGGGGAACTCCGTGGCACGGACATGGAAGTAGATTCCGCATTCTGCTTTGAAGTGGTCGAGGTCCTCGCTTGCTCCGGCGAAGGCAGTGGGGGGGGCAACCTTGGGTGCTTTGAGCTTGGGTGTGGGTGCGGGTGCGGGCGTGCAGGCAGGGCCGGTGGGTTCTGGACATGGCTCTCAAGGATGGCCTGCAGTTCCTGAAACCTAGTCAGCAGGTCCTGGTACTGCTCTTCAGTCACCATGCTGGAGGAGGTGGGGGAGATTAGGTGGAAACCTTCTTCTGCTGTCAGGGATGGCTCGAGGGAGGCAGAGGTAGTGGCGTAGCGCTCAGTGCTAGCGGCCCAGATGACGGCAGGGCAGTAAGACCGTATAGTGAGCAGCCCTCACTCGGGCTTACGTCCCTGTGTGGCTTCTTAGGCTGAAGTGGGAAATGTATTGTTATTAGGGTGGGAAGCTAGACTAAACTAGGGTACTTGCCTGAAGCGGGAAATGAGAAGAAGGTTACTTCTTCGGTCCTGCTTCGGCTTAGTTTATATACATGTGTGAACGGGTCATGTGGAAGTGCCACGTCACCTTCGGACGAAGCTGGGTTACCATGGGTGGCTCCGCGGTCGATCCCGAGCATTGGAGGGGAAGTACAAGTAGGAGTGCACGGCGCATCTGGCGTGGCGGTGCCCCTATGGGGTGCTCAGCGTCGGGCGCGTCCGTGCTACAAGTGTAGGAAAGAAAGAGAGAGGTCGTCCGTATAAAGATAGAAAAAGAGAAGAGGGAAAGAAGAGAGAAAAAGAGGATGAGACGAAAGGAAAGGAGGTGGTGGCGGTGGCGGCGGTGTGCCCTGACAGCTACCGAGTCTGCAAAAACCTCAAACAAACACTCACCTATGTCTCTCTTGGATGTGAGCAACTAGCTCAGAGGGGGCGTTAGGGTCGTGGATGGCGTCTTTTCCACTTGGATGTAACTTCTGCTTGTCCCTTCACGGGTCTATTCAGTACTAACTTGTTATGTACAAGCTGTTATCTAGTTTATATATGTTTGAAATGGAATGAATGGCATGGGGGAATGTAAACGGGCCGTTAGGCAACCGTAAATGATGAATATCCAATTGGGAACAAAGAAACAATAAAAGAAATATGAATGAATGGGGAATATATGATAACGGGTCCGAAATGGGAATTGTGAAAGTTAACTCCGCAACGCTTCGCCAAAGCGCCCGCCTATCCTCCCGTCAGCAACCTCCTCGTCTCCAGCTTTCCAATGAGCCCTTATTCATCCCAATTGGTGCAGTACTTTTTGAGATGTGGCCATTGACAGGTGCTGTCAAGACCACGTGAGACTATACTCCATGCTGAACCATCCGGGTATGGGATTGCCATTCTGGGAAATGCTCCGGGGGTGAAGAAGGGTGGTAGAGCATCACTATCGGGTGGAAAAACGGCTGGGTTGTGAGTGTGGTTATGGAGGTCTGGAGAGGGGGTGAAATTGGCACCATGGTTGGGCATGGGAATTTTGCTTGGGGTTGTCGGGAATGATGGGGAAAATATGAAAAAATATGGAGTGAGTGTATGGAGTGTTGGATAGTGATAGAATGAGTATCAGGATCAGCGGATATGTAGTGCATGTTGGTGACCAAATTCTGCAGAATCCGACTTTTTGCGGTACACGGAGTTGTCCCCACAACAGCATCTGGGGTAGAAGGGATCCAGATGTATCGCCTGGCAGAGGGGCCCTCACGGGATGCAAACCGGGCTTGCGTTGTAGGAGAAATAACGGCCACACTATGGAAACCCATTATGGAAATATGCCAGATAAATCACAAAACCTCATACGACAAGTAGATATGAGAAAATAGAAGGACCTGAATTTTAACGAATTTTACGAATTTTTACGAATTATTATGACTATACACAATAAATTGAAAGAAAGAAAAATAGCAAAAATACTTCAAGCTTACCATCAACGAGACGGAATTCTCAGGGGAATTTATAGCAAATATTAAACCAAGAATTAGGACAATCGACCAAGATTTGACTATAAAAATAATCAGAGAACCTGTCAGAGACCAGACTCGAGACGAAGGAATGTCTCCATAACGGAGGGCTTTGGCCTCAGCGACTTCTGCCAAGAGCGCTGTGCCTAGTGACACGTCCGTGCCCTAACTTACTGACTGGCAATTAGAACCTAGGGGGGTAACTCTAGTTGATTTTACTACTGGGGCATAACCTATGTACAAGTGGGATATATATATGGTTACAGCGGAGACGGTTCCGCAATTGGCGGAGCCGAACGGAGCGGAGCTAACGGGGTTAAAACATTAGCCGACTGAATATTACCGACGAGTCGGTTTGCGGGGTTAGTGGAAAGGCAGGCGTTAACCCAGAAACGGAAAGGAGGGATAGGCCCGAAGGTGGGCTCTGCAGGGCAGGTGAGTGTATTGCCCAGCAGAGGCGGGGGTGCGCTAGCGGACGTCGGAGCTGTCTGGAAGTCTTCGGGGCGCCGTACTTAGGGAGGCGTAGGTAATAAATTGAAATGAGGGGGTGGTGACCATCGAGGGGTACCGAGAGGTTTGCAGAATACAGGGGGCTCCGAGGTTGGTGAGAGAGGAGCGGAGTTAGAACGGAGGGAACGGAGGGACCGGAAGTCGATGGCCGGGGATGGATATGACAGAACCTCCACGGAAACTACTTTCCCACATCCGCACACGTAGCCAAGGATGGAAGTACCACAGAACAAGGATTCCTCAGGAACTAATGCAAAGTTCAAAGTCGTGTTTATAATAGGAAATGTAGATGTCCCCCAAACGGACCCAATGAGAGTAATTACAGGGGAAACTACCCATAAACGACGGAGATATGACTAAAACTCTTGCAAAACGAGGACAATGTCTAAAAGGCAAGCGCGAAGATTAACTAGTAACGACCGAGACAAGCTTGATAGCCCATTAGAAAGGAAGGGATCTAATCTTAATCCTCCCAAAGTTTCATAATAAAAGGATCATGCGTTAATGAGATATCCAATAACGGGAATAGCGACATCAAAAGTCCGAGCTCAGGGAAAAGACGATGTTTGCGTAGGATCCATAATCAAAACATACAACGAAATTTACACGGAAATTATTAAAAATGGGGAACTATAGTTATGCAAATTTTCAGCCCAAATGGTCCAGCCGTTGTGAAGTTATACCCATGATGGGAATATAGAAATCCGCATCATGTATAATGACATGTGAGGGTGGCGATGTGCAGGGAACTGGCCGTCGGAACTGAGATCCACACTTTGGCAGATCGCGAAGACCAATTTCCGTCCAAATAAGGAAGAGCCCGGTCAAAACAAAGCACGGAAAGTGCAAAACAACCTTAGATCATGAGGGAAAAATCTGAAATAAATCACAGAAGCCCATATGAAAGAAATAAACACCCGCGCATATCATAAATCCCGAATAATTAAACAAAAACGGCACCCGCATACAAATGACTATGGGAACAATGCACGTGATTACCGAATGTGTGTGCAAATCTTTGCTAACTCAACGAATACCAGGAAATAGGACACAACCTTAGTACCATTGGAAAGGTGGGAATAAATAAAAATTTATGATACCAAGAACGTGAGAAAACATCCAGAAATGAATGAGATACAAGGACATGAAGTTAGAAACCTGAAAACGCGCGGGTGTCAGGGGACGACTCCCAGGTCCCCATGACCCTCCCCTATGGTCCACAGCCCCGAGGTGTAACCACCCCTATCCAGGGCACAACCTACTGTGGGTAAGGAGATGAGAAGGAAGCTAACTTCTCATCTTCCCACAGTGGCCACCATATCAGGAAAACTTCCGGGGATACCCGGAAGTCACATGAAGGCAGGATCCGGGGCCGGACCATGCAGTGCATGGAGCATGTGGCACGGGAATGCGCGTGGGAAGTGTAGCGGGTCCGGATGCGGGTCCGGGTCCAGGCTAGTCAGGGTGTGTGCCCTGACAGTGGGAAGACAGCTTCAAGTGTCATATCGGATTGTCGCCATTCCAGATCCTGAGTAAGGTCCAAGATCGGGAGCGGGCCAAAAGGTCGTGAGTTCAAAGTCGTCGCACTTAAGTCATTCAGCTCATTCTTGTCAACGCATGCCATTGCCTCCATTGTCTGAGGCAATCTAGCTTTGTCTGAGCACGTATGAGCTGTCTCAGCCCAATCTGAGGTCTGAGGAGCTAAGGTGACTTCGCAAACTGGTGGATCTGAGATGCGTTCAAGGCCAATAGGCCTAAGCTCTTTCGCTTCTAGCTCCGGTACTTCGACACGGCTCCCTAGTTGGTCACAATCGCTAGCTTCTAGGTTCTTAGTGCTGAACCCTGATCCAGACTCGTAATCAGTGGGTACAACGATCGGTTCGGCGCAAACATGACTCAATTCAGTTGGAAGCGCTGCGCTTCTGACTTCAACTTCAACACCAACTGGCGCCCGCTCCAGTAAGGAAACTGCCGGGACTTCGGACTGTCCACACAACCTGGACTCGGGGATGCCGCAACTGGGATGTAGTGGCAAGGCTTCCTCATGGGGAGCTGAGCTCTCTAGGTCCTGGGCTTCATGTTGTTCAGCCGCTAACTCCAAATCCGTGGAATCTGCCATCTGGCACAAGCTTGCGCTGTCACTTCCATGGTCCGCCAAGTCATTGACTGGATCATCATCACCGTCCTTTCTGGAACATGGGCGTCGCTCGGACTTCACACTGGAATCAACATCGTATATGTCGCCTTGGAGCAGCTCCTGTGCAACTGCTACAACATCATTCATGTGCGGTGGTCGGGTCAGGTCTGACCAAAGACCTTGTGCCCTGAGTTCGTACTTGAGCTCCCGTCTGAACTTTGACGGAAATCCACGGTAAAACAAATCATCGCGGTCAACGACAGTAAGGGCATTCCTTTTCTGTAGGCACTTCGCAATAACATGGAACTCGCGCCGGTACCGTGCAAGATGGTCTACCCTTTTTATCTTGCGGGCTTCCTTGACAAACTTTCGTAGATCCTCCATTCGATATCCGGGCTCATCTTCATCGGCACTGTAGTAGCACAATAGCTCTGACTTGAGCATGGGCCAGTTCTGGGTCTCGAAACCGGGGAGGGTCCGGACAAATTCGGCTTCCTTTTCGGTGCAATAGGTGATCATGTAGGCGCACTTGCCTGCGTCTGTAAGGGAAGCAATGTCGGCCAACAACTCGAACTCGCGTAAAAACTTGGTAATCATTTTGCCCTTGAACCGGGGTGCTTCTGGGCTTCGGTGACCTGGCATCAATGGGGCTTCGATATAAAACATGGGCACTGTGATGGCAGGACTTGCAGCCATCTCGAAATCGGTTAACAAAACACGCAAAACTTGGAACGACTTCTGGATGTCTGTCTATTGATGTCCGGCAATTGAAGGAATGTGGATAAAACGAGTGTATTGCCTGGTAAGATGAAGGCAATTTGGTACAATTTTTAGGTGAAACAGCACAGGACGACTTGAGTGGTGAAAAATGAACTCCTGTGCCTCGTCTTGAGGTCCGCCAGGAGGCAATGATTGAGATAACTTGTGTAAACTTGCGTAACCGTGTGGATCCGTAACGCGTAGATCCCTAACACGGGCTCCTGTGCCTCTTCTTGAGATCCACCAGGAGTGAACTAAACTTGAGCAATCAAATATGATCTCCTGGGCCTTGTCTTGAGGTCCGCCAGGAGGAACAACGTGTGTGCGTGCATGTGTAGCTTGGGTGGTCTAGTGTGATCCCTAATACTTGTACTTTCTTGACCTGCGTCTGTAACCAATGTAGATACTCGATATCCACGGCAAAATGATGAATTTCCAAATGAATGAACTGTGCAAACTTGCGTGATTGAAAACCTGACCAAGTGGATTATCCCCCCTGTAAGGACCACCAGATTTGTAACGGGTCTATCGCCTAGACTCGAGACAGGGAAAGGGGGGAGGGTGGTAGTGAATGCGTGTGTGATGGAGGTTCGGGTTTTTGGGTCCTGGGGCGCTAGCGGGTCTGTTAGAGCCTCAACTCAACACTCACCTATGTCTCTCTTGGACGTCAAGGCCGAGGGTTATGAGGAAAGGGGTCTCAGATGTAAGCAAGTAACTCAGGGGAGGCGTTAGAGTCGTGGATGGCGTCTTTGCCACTTGGATGCAACTTCTGCTTTCTCTTTCACGGGTCTATTCAATACTAACTTGTATCTCGGAATTTAAGGATCCGGATCCAAACCTGAGCCCGAAATGGATGCATTCATTTGGTCCATGCCATGGTGGGCTGGTTTGCTTCCATTGGAATTTTTTTTTGGGTGTTTCCCCATATGGACCCATGTAACCCGGCCCTTTCCGCCATTCATTATTTCGCATCCCCAAAATTCAAATCACCTGCCAGCTCCTGTCACGTTTCTTCGTTTGGTTCGATTTCGGCTTTCTCCCCTTCCTTGCTCTCCCTCCCCCCCCACCAACCAATATTCAATCTTCACGGTCACGTTGCAGTCACATTCTCGTTGCAGAATGCACGGCCACGGCCAGCTCCGCTCACCAGCTCATGCCGCCTGCACCTCGCCTCGCCTCACTGATGGAGTAAGTACTTGCGGCAGCACGAGAGTGAAGACAAGTGAGTGCGGTGCACTCTTTCTTTCCCTTTCTCCATTACCTTTTTTTTTTTTTTTTTTTTGTTTTTTCTCTTGCTGACGATCGATCTCTGCCGTTCCCCAGGGCTGGGCTGTAGCCATCCCCTCCCCCACTCCCCGAATGCGCTGTATCTCCCTTGCCCACAACATCCCATCCTCGTGGCCCTGGATGAAGCTGATGGCGTTGGATTCGCTTGTGGGCCATGCTGTCCCATTTGGAGGAGCGGTTGGGGGAACATGCAAATTGCGTGCACAGCCCCTTTCTGATGCTTCGCCGCCGCCATCATCGTCGATCCCATTCTGCTTGACTCGAGCCCCGCTCTCGAATGGATGGTTTTTGAGTCATATGGTGAGATGTTACTAGCCATGCCCAGATTTTTTTTTTTGCTCATTTTCCGTGAGCGTCTTTGTCGACCTCCAGTCCAGTAGAAAGCGATGACAAAAATTCGGTGAAATTTCCCGCTGGGTTACCCTGCCCGAACGCTTTCAGATACCATTGGTCCTGTCCCCAACGGATGGTTTTTGAGCCAGGTACGCGCTGTGAGATTTCCTAGCCATTCCCGGATTTTCTCACTGATTTTTCGCAAATGTCTTTGTCCACCATGGGAGCAAACCGACGATGGAAATCAACGAAAATATCTATTGGAATCCCCTACTGGAGTGCTTTCAGATGCCATCAGTCACGTCCCCAACAGATGGTTTTTGAGCCAGGTACGCGCTGTGAGATTTCCTAGCCATGCCTGGATTTTCTTGCTGATTGCAAATGTCTTTGTCCACCATTGAGGAAGGAAAACCGACGATAAAAATCGATGAAAATATTCATTGGAATCCCCTACTCGAGGGCTTTCGGACGCCACCGGTCACGTCCCCAACGGATGAGTTTTGAGAGAGGTATGGGCTGTGAGATTCCCTGGCCGTGCCTGAATTCTCTTGCTGATATTTCGCGGATGTCTTTGTCGGCCCTGGGAGAAAACGATACAAAAATCAGCAAAAATATCCCCTGGGTTTTCCTACTCGAGCGCTTTCAGACACTGTCAGTCCCGTCTCCAATGGATGGTTTTCAGAGGATGTATGGGCCGTGAGGTTTTCTAGCCATGCACAGATTTCTTCGCTGATCTCTCACGAATGGTATGTGTGATTCTGACTGGGAAGAGCAATATAATCATTGTGAAATGACACTTAGGTACATTCAGTGGTGTAATTTTCCACTCTTACGACTCTTGATGGTGCCGTCTCTTTTCCCTTCCACTCCAATCTTTTCAAGTGCAGTACTGAAATTGTCGCTCATCTTCAGTCCATAGTGTTTCAGGAACTCCGCCTCACCCATTCTGTACAGTGGGGAAGTGTTAGTGTTAGTGGATATTTAGTCACCAAAAGGAGAAGAGAAGGAAGAGACTACAGACTTGTCATATTTCTTGCCAACACGACGGTGCTTGCCAGTGTACCATTCCCACTTCCAGTTCTTCAGTGGCACTCGGAGCTCATTCTCATCCCCATGCAGCCATTGTTTAATGGCATCCTTAAGTGTGCGGACTGGGGGAATGGTGGTGTGCTCAGCGCCCGGAGCGGGTTGGCCATCATCATCGTGGTGCTCCTGGGGCCAACTGGAGCCTGATGGAGGGTGGGATAGAGACTGGGCAAGTGGAGAGGAAGCGATGGGGCCAGGGGGGAAGGGGGGGAGGAGCACTGGGTAAGGTTGGCTGTGGCCACATTGACTGAGTAGGTCCTCCTGGCTGAACTGTTAGGGACGTATGATCCATTACTGAGCAGACATACCAGTAACATGGTGGTGGAAGGCAACAGGGTGAGGAGGAATAAGATAGCCTATCGTGTGCCTGAGTTGATCCAGTGAGACTTGGAATGAAGAAAATCTGTCATCAATGCTTCAGAGCCCATGCCTGAAGTGGTGCATGTGTTCCTCATACCAGCCCATGCGTTCCTCAAAACAGCCCATGTATTCACCCAGGTGGCCAAACTGAGAGCAGGCTTCTTCTGCAGTCATTGCTTTGAGTTGCGACATCGCTCCATTTTGAGACTCTAAGTTGTCAATGTGAACCAGGGCAAGTGAGTCGCCATAGTTTGTTTCTGTGGTGATCAGCATATCCATAGCATATTTGAGGAGTGTAGATGGCTGGAATATTGTGAGAGCCTTGGGAATGTGGATGAGATAATGGTGTGGACTCACATTTTCTCCAGGTGCCCACCCACCCCACCACTGGCACTGATGAAGTGGCCACCTTCTGAAAACCGGTGCAAGAGCAAACCAGTACTGAAGACCACCACGCCTGAAGCAGTGTGATGTCAGTCTGTCAGTTTCCAGTTGCACTTGCCTTCCATAATAGGCAAGAAGATCATTAATGGTGGTGGTTGAGAGCGTTGAATTCCAGTGAATGTCATGAGAACGGTGGGAGCAGGAGGGAAAGAGGGGATAGTGAGGCTTCAAGGGTTTTCCACTGCAATATCGCAGAGAAAGAAACTGAGTCCAGTGCCTCACATGGCAATATGCATCAAGCTCCAGAGTCACATTGGGTCCGTCATGCTGGGAAAATGTGTCCATGCCATAGAGGGGATAGATATTATACCGTGTCCCTATAAACTCGGACTCAGACCAGCAATAGACTGATGGCCACTGGATTTAGTTTACCTTGGCAGCCAGACTCATCACTATGGTTCTGTTTTTGCCAGCCCTTGCGGTTAACCAGGGTGACCCGCAGGTGTGGAAGGTTGTGACTGACTTCCTCGTGTCCCCAATCAAGATGCTGAATAAGGATTGAAGTGAGCTCTTCATTCCTATGTTGAAAGTTGAAATATGAATAAAGGGTTGGTACAGCAGAGATGTAGGTACCTTGTCCATAGAGTCCAGCCCAAAGATGTTAGTGTACACAACATGAGGTGGGAGCAGATGTTGTCATGTTGTTTAAGGGTGAAGGACTCGCTGGGAATACTAGGGTCAAGAGCCTTGCTAATCAGGTCTGGAGGACATTGAGCAGCAGTGACAGCCTGAATAGCCTTAATGTCGCTAATCTGGATTGCCCTTGCATGATTCCGGATAGTTCCCTCAGATGCGCGCAAATTCTTCACAGATTTGACAAGGTCAATGATCAGACTGGATTCACATGGGTTTCCCTGGCACTTTTCAGGATAAGGGTGTGGATGCCAAGTGCCCTCAAATCCTCTAGAGGGGAATCAGAAATGATCACTTCACTTCGTAAATTTTATGTCGCTACTCACAGTTTCCTGAAGTGCCACTTGAATGCGGAGCGGAGTATGTCTACAGTTGAGACAGACTTGTTCTGATCAGTAGCACGGAATGTGATGTATGCAGCCAGTAGTTTGGCAGTAATTTCCACAGGTTTGTCGAAAGCAAGGAGAGCATCCTTGTGTTGAAAGAGATATGCCTCCGGATTTGGATCCTCAGGGGATGACAACAGTGGGTTACTGTACTTGAGGCAATTCTCTTCCAACCACTTCTTGGCATTGGTTATTGCTGAGCTATAGTTCCGTTGCGTGGAAGTGGACTGGAGGTGTGTATCTATCAATTCCAGCGCAGAAGTGGGGCCTGACCCCAGCTCAGAGTGCGGAGCCAGCTTCTTCCGCACATTTCAAGTTGCATGCTCCAGCAGATGACATCCCTTCTTAACTTTGGGCATAGTGGGTGAAAGTACTAGGATGGATGGGCAGTTATGAACGTTGTTGTGGGGACAACTCCGTGTACCGCAAAAAGTTGGATTCTGCAGAATTTGGTCACCAACACGCAGTACATATCCGCTGACACTCCTGATACTCATTCTATCACTATCCAACACTCCTTACACTCATTCCATATTTTTTCATATTTTCCCCATCATTCCCGACAACCCCAAGCAAAATTCCCATGCCCAACCACGCTGCCAATTTCACCCCCTCTCCAGACCTCCATACCCACACTCACAACCCAGCCGTCTTTCCACCTGATAGTGATGCTCTACCACCCTTCTTCACCCCCGGAGCATTTCCCAGAATGGCAATCCCATACCCGGATGGTTCAGCACGGAGTATACTCTCATGTGGTCTTGACAGCACCTGTCAATGGCCACATCTCAAGAAGTACTGCACCAAATGGGATGAATAGGGGCTCGTTGGAAAGCTGGAGACGAGGAGGTTGCTGACGGGAGGATAGGCGGGCGCTGTGGCCAACTGTTGCGGAGTTAATTTTCACAATTCCCATTTCGGACCCGTTGTCACATTTTCCCCATTCATTCATATTTCTTTTATTGTTTCTTTGTTCCCAATTGGATATTCATCATTTACGGTTGCGTAACGGCCCGTTTACATTCCCCCAGTCCATTCATTTCATTTCAAACATATAAAAACTAGATAACAGCTTGTACATAACAAGTTAGTATTGAATAGACCCGTGAAGGGACAAGCAGAAGTTGCATCCAAGTGGCAAAGACGCCATCCACGACCCTAACGCCCCCATTGAGCTAGTTGATAACGTCTAAGACCCCTCTTATCAGAATCCTCAGCCTTGACGTCCAAGAGAGACATAGGTGAGTGTTTGTTTGAGGTTTTTGCAGACTTGGTAGCACCCACAGACCAAAACCCGGCCCAACGAACCACACCCGTGCACACTACCACCCTCCCCCTTCTCTCTGTCTCGAGTCTAGGCGATAGACCCGTTACAACGTGTCACATCAAAGCACAGGCTGATAGTGAGGGACACAGCACCCAGGGATTGCATCCCTTAATCCTTTCATACCATTGGGGCAGCTGGAGTCCAATGAGGATTTCACTATCCATCAAAGATGCATCAATTGCCTGAAGTGGGTTGACATTGACAGGTTGGTGATAGGGTGGGCATCCTTGAACGAGTCGCACACACCACACACAGTTATGTTACTATATACATGAAGACTATGGAATGGAATGGCCTGACAATGGAGCAGGGGGAAATGGGATGTGAGGACCAGATATTTCATCCTTGTATCCGAATGGATCAGATACACCTGAGTCAATAATGAATCCAAGAGATGACATGCTCGTTACAGATTCTCCACGACTGGGGCACAGTCCGTCACCAAGAATCTAGCCTCCCACTTGGAGTCCATGAAGTTGCAGGAGAATTGCGACCCCAACCACCTATTCTGGCCATGGAGCGAACTGAGTGCATCGGTTGCACAGCAAGAGATCCACCATGGTTTTGCTCGGGTCCCTTAAGAAGGAATTGTGCAGTCCCAGTGGGGGACAAAGCTGGTGAGCAGAGCTGCTGTGGCTGTGCATGTGATTTGCATGTTCCCCCAACCACTCTTCCAAATGGGATGGGACGGCGTTTGAAAGCCCACAAGTGAATCCAATGCCATCAGCTTCATCTGAAATGGCGAGGATGGGATGTTATGGGCGAGGGAGATACAGCATGTCTGGGATGGCTACAGACCTGGGGAACGGCAGAGATCAATTGTCAGCAAGAGAAAAGACAAAAAAGAAAGAGATGGAGAAAGAGCGCGCCACACTCACTGTACTCTCATGCAGCACCGCCAGGCTGGGCTGCCGCAAGTACTCTGTCAGCGAAGCAAGATGAGGCGCAGGTGGCATGAGCTGAGTCAGGGGAAAGATATGGGGTGGTTGGACTGAGTATGTACGTGGATGAGATCGAAGCCGGTTGAGACGACCCTTGCAAGACGCTCGATGTCTGTGTACCAGCGACAGTGGCTAATATGGGGGGTTAACGAGAGGGTGGATTAACATGCGAGTGCCCAAATAGCACTTACTGCCTTGGCCTTGCTTCTCTTTGTCTTTGCTGTCCTTTCCTAAGCCTATAGTCCACTTCTTTTTCTCGCGCTCCTTTTCGGAATCAATGCGGGTGCGGGGTTTTGTCTCCCTATCATTCTTTTGCAGTGCCTTTGTGCTGTTCGTGCAGTCACCTTGATAGAGTCGAGAGCGACACGAGGTGATGAGGGATAGGGCAGGAGAGGGTGAAGAATGGATGTGTCCAGTTTAGCACCGAAATAGGGAATGGGTGGTGAGAGGGAAGGATCGGTGAGATCTGGCGAGCGAGCTTGCAGGAGAATGTGAGGGTCGTCATGTTGCTCTACAGTCCATCCGTCCGCCTGCGGAATATCCAAAACGGACACATACAGTAGCGCTTACGATGTTGGAGGGGTCCGGCATCACATCGAAACCGAGTTCATCATTAGATGGGGTTGAGTCCATGAATACATGAGATGTCGCTCGAAGGCAGTCGCCGAGGCACACCATTCGCACATGGGGATGATGAGTCGAGGAGGAAGTGGAGGTGGAGGTGGAACAGTGGCTGCATAACCAAAGGGATTACGTCTGCTGGGCTTGATGATCCGGCCGAGACTGGACATTGAAGGGATACTTGCTAGTGAGCCACTGTGGGAATGGCCCGACGATGGAATGGTGTATGCCAAACTGTCCGGATAGCCAGCAGAGTGAGTCTGGGTGCGAACCTCCGTGGGCGACTCTGATGCGGAGCCAGGGGGGAGTGTCTGGAGCGATGGTCATCAATACAATGGAACCATGGTTCGGAAAGAGAAGCAAAGCCAGCACATCGAAGAAGAGGGAAAATCGTAGAAAATGAAGTGACTTACGTGAGATCCAGAATTAATGTTAACAGCAGAGTGATATGGCGAATCATGTGTGCTCGAATGATGAGAAGCATAAGAATTAGAACGATGTATTCCAGGGTGTGTGCTGCCGGTAGTTCCACTGGTCCCATTCACACCGTTCCCACCGGCACCAGTTCCAGAATGACTCAAAGGAGAAGGGTAGCTCGAGGAAGGGTTACCAGCTTCTCTATGGCCCTCACTTCCGCTTGAATGGGGATGTGAATGCGAATGTGGTTGGGGAGGTTGAGGGTAAGCAGACGTAATCCCTTTGGTTACGCAGCATCTGTTGGTGAAAACAATACCACAGGCCCCTCCATAGATGCCATACCCATTCATTCCCTTCCCATTGCTCATAGGGACACCATATCCACCTACGGCAACTCCAACACCAACACCAGCGGTAGTGGTGGCACCAACACCATGAGAGAAGACATTGCACCATATGTTGCTCCATGTCCCGGATATGGATCACCCCCAGCCCTTTCAGAAACCGGATGAAGTGTTATACTCCCCTCATTTCCAGCACCTCCAGTTCCATACGAACCACCCAACCCCGTAGCACCATCAGGACTAGTGGGAGGGGTAGGGGTATAAATCTCCCTATCCCTCTTCATCATTGCTCGAATCACACTCCCATTGGCGCCCCGATTCATCAAGTTGGCATCATTGTTCATCATAGTTGTTGCTAATGCGGCATTAGCGACTGACATTGCCACAGCATTAGCGTTCACAGCCGCAGCCGCAGCAGCATTGGCATTAGCAACCGCCATTTGAGCTCATTTGTTGTGGGAAGTTTGTTGGGATCAAGGAGAAAGATGAACACGGAATAGAGGAAAGGGTATCACTCCATTTAATATCCAGGTGGTGTGTACGTGGTTATGGGGGCCGGACCGATAGTCGAATGGGCGTGGGTGAAAGGTAAATGAAGCGGGAAAAGGGAAGACAAAAGGAACAAGTATTTCATACGAGAACGATCGATGAACAGATTGATGTGGAGACAAACGTGTTTGGCGTGGAATAGGGATGTCAGGATGAGAGTGAGTTTTTTTGGTTTGATGGAGAGTGGCATGCGTGGGTAAACGGAAGCAAGACCAGGCCGCAGATATGTAGGTCGATGGATCGTCAGGGAAGAGAAGTAGTCATAGTCATGAGATTGGTCGTTGAGATCTAGTGTGGCACTTGATCCACTTTATATTGGCACCTAGGTTGTCAGTCCCATTCAGTTGTTCTTCCCACACTGATAACCCTCACCACTCATTTGTTTACTTATTCATTTCTGCACTGGACCAACTGGCCCTTCCCATGATTTCTCTCCCTTATTTATACCTTGTAAATACTTTCAGGGACCTTAATCTGAAATCAACCTGTCTGGACAAGTCTCAGGTTCTGCAAAAGGGGGCTCCTCCCCTCTGAGTCTGTCCCCACTGAGTTTTGCCCTATCTCCAACAGGCCTGCTCCATCCACAAGTTTGCTTGAAGTCCACAGTAAGTCCCTGCTCCACAAATAAGGGATCTCCCCCAGATGTCAAGCTCAGGGCACAGCACTCCCCTTGAGTCGCTGAGGCCACAATCCCATTCTGCCAACACTGAACAGTGCTTCCAGACACACCACTTGCTTCCACCCATACCTCTGCACATGCACACTCTGACAGATGGTCTTCATGACTTTCTTGTGTGACCACCATCTAGACTCCCCCTGTAACTATATATATACATAACTTGTAGATACGTTACACAAAAAGATCAACTAGAGTTTTCCCCCTCTTCTAGAGTTCTCCCTCAGTCTGTAAATTAGGGCACTGACATGTTACTGGCACAGTGCTCCTGGCATAAGTTGCTGAGGCCATTGCCCTCTGTTCACAGGGACATTGTCGCTCATCCTGAACCTGGTCTCTGACAGATACACTACATATCCTCTCCTGTTCTATCCCTTCCCCCCCCTTCATGAGTCAGAGACCGGATGCAGGATGAGGGCATTGGCCTCAGCAACTTAGACCAGGAGTGCTGTGCCTAGTTACACATCTGTGCCCTAATTTACTTAACTGGCAGTGAGAACTAGAAGGGGGATAACTCTGGTTGATTTTATCACTAGGGTGTAACCTATCTACAAGTTATGTATATATAGTTACATAGAGGGCAGGCCCATGAATAGCAGAACCAAGCAGAGCAGAGTTAATGGAGTTACATGTTAGCTGACTGAATATTACTGATGAGTCGGGTTACAGGGTTAGTGGAGTGGCGGACTATAACCCAGAAATGGAAAGGAGGGATCGGCCTGAAGGTAGGCTTGCAGGGCAAGCAAGTGAATTGCCCAGTGGAGGTGGGAATGTGCTAGCAGACGTTGGAGCTGTCTGGAGGCCTTCAGGACTCCGTACTTAGGGAGGCATAGGTAATATACTGGATTGAGGGGGTGGTGACCATCAAGGGAGTCGGAAGTGATTACAGAATACAGAGGCTCCGAGGTTAGTGACAAAGGAGTGGAGGTAATCTGGAAGGACTGGAGGTAGTGGAGGATGATGGCCATGGATGGATATGACACACTGCCCCTGTAACAACCTCCCTTCTGTGACTCAACTGAACCTGTGTGTGTACAACTCAACATGTCCTATATGTCTGGTTATGTCAAGTCTTCTGGTGGTTCTTGCCAGGAGAACTCGAGGTCACAGGTTAAAGCCTCACGACCTGTGTATCATCCACTGGAACCCATGTCCTATAGGATGTCACTACCTTGTTCTTCTGCCAGTGCTTGATGGACAATGTCATACTATGATACTCAGGTCCACAACTGCTCTGAAGATTGTATTCCCATGATGCCAGCATGCTCACTACACAAGCACCAAGTAGCCACCCATCAACCATCTAGTCTCTCCCTTGCTATTCATCACACCCCACTGCCATCAGTACATTCCCTTTGGGAATGCCAAGCCCTGTTAGATACTCCTTCCTGGGTACACATAATAACAACCTGCTACCAGTACATTCATACTACAAATGCCAAGTAACCAATAGCAACAATATGGAACCCTCACACATTGTACAAGTCACAACCATGTGCATGGTATGCTCCACTGAGGAGCACCAAGTACCCATGGCTGACCTATCTACCCTGGCATCTTTGACTGCATGTAATCGAACCCTTAATAGCTCACTCCATCATGAACCATGATCGATGGGGATTCAATTGTCTGCTCTCATACCTGACTGGGATCACTCATCAATTACACATTCTGTTAGAACAGGCGGATTCAGACGACTCCGGAGTGGAATTGGAGACTTAGCGTGGAGGGACCTTGGCCTCAGCGACTCAAGCGGAGTGCTGTGCCATTGCTGTTTGTCCATTTGGTCCTTAATTTCACAGTAGGCAAGCAGGAAGTCTCTAGGGGGCATTTCAGGTCGATTTCGGACTGAGCCTCCTACGAGTATGTACAAGCGCCAATATATATAATGGAGGGGGCAAAAGCACAAGGAAACGAAAGGGAACCGAATCGGAATGAAGGCATCTGAATGGGAACAAAGGGATGACAGAAGCGGAGCGGTACCGAAGGTCATAAGGCAGAACCTGTGATACGTCCAAAAGGAGGTAGGGAGGGCAAGGCCCAGAGGGGCAGGAGGATGAGGGGAAGTGGGGATGATGACTAACTGGCTAGAATGGGAAGAAGCAGCAGTCCAAATAGGGATGAGGGGGAATGTGAGAAATACATTACAAGCAGCGAAAGTGCCAAAGATGATCCGCAAAGCTCAGAGGTTGCAGGGCTTACGGAGGTGGGGTTGAGAGTCTGAGGAATATTGGCAATGGTGTTTATGTAGTATGAGGTCACCAATGCAATGGACTAAGACCGAGGTGGAGTCAAAGTCCGAGGTAGGAACTATGACGGAGGCTCGGAGCAAAGGTACGAGCGGTGCCCGAGTACAAAGTACGGGTCAGCAGTGGAAGGTCGTAACTTGGTGGGAGGTCGGCGGAAGAGGACCAGAGGGAAAAGAGGGGAAGGAAGAGAGGAGAGGTGTCAGATCCGAAGGTGGGTATTGGAGTGGACAGGAGAAGAGTAGGAGGATGACGGAAGGGTGGAGGTGTTGTGAGGAGGGAGCGGGGGAGGGAGCAGAGGAGGGAGCGGAGGAGTGAGCAGAGGAGTAGGAGGAGGGTGGCGAGGGGGGTGGTGTTTGGTCCAAAATGGTTATCGGAGCAGATGGAGATAGGACAGGAGAGTGACAGAGGAGTGGAGGTGGCATGGGAGGTGAAGGGTGGTATGGTGCCAGGACCGAAGGTGAATATCGGAATGGACAGCAGTAGGGTAGGATTCCAGAGGTGGGGAAGGAGGAGGTCCGGAAGTCGGGTCGGGATCGGGTATGCATGGATATGACACATTCTGTTAATGTAAAAACAAGATCTTACAACCATCTTCCAGTTATAAGAATGGGTTGAGAGGGGAGAATTTCTCCCCATCCTCATAACATTATAGCTACTATCTTGTAAGGTTGGTGTAGGTGCCAACCTTGTATCTCCTCACTCCTCAAGTCTGTCAAAGATATAAGTTTGAATAGAGCTATATTTCAATGAGGTAGAGGAAAGGAGTGTCCCTCAATTCATCATACCCCACATCATTTATATATGTAATTGCATGTGTTGTATGTTATTTATAGTGGGGCATTCCTTACAGTAATATTATAGTTCTCATGCATATAGTGAGACTGAGCTACTATCTACCAGAGCAAGTGGTTATACCGTTAGTTTTGGCTCACTGCTGCTAGAGGGACCATAGCCCCATAAGAATATGTTGGACAAGTGTCCTTGCCAACATAGAAACTAGTTGCCATGATGGGAACTAGAGCAAGTGGCATGAAGAGGATCCAGAGTTGCATTGTGGCTTTTTAGATATCGCTGCTACTGGCATGTAATGTTCATGGCATGAGTAACTTCACATAGTTAATGTTAATCAGGGGGGACTAACTTCAGTCTCGAGTGCATGTGGTCAGAGGACTGAGGAGGGAGGAAAGCAGAACATCAGGCTTTATGTAGGCAATTCCAGTATCCTAAACTAGAAAGGTTGCTTCGCAACCATGATCTTGCTGGCACACCATGCACACATTAGGGGGCTTCATGGTAGGCAAGATTGGTCAGGTGTCTAGACTGAAATCCTAAACTCACCCAAGATTGATCAAAACTGGTCAATCTTGTCAACCTAGCCGTTGGGGCTCACATGCCCCAAATGGTCTAAACTGACCCAAGACTCAACTCAAGACTGGACTCTGGATTCAGATATACCATTTGTAAACTCCACCAGCATGCTACTGTACAGTTCCTTTCTCCATACACTTATCCTTCCACCACACCCTTTTGTCCACCAGACCTAGTCACAGACATGCCACCAAGGGGCTGTGTTGGATGAGCCATGACGATGTAGGCAGGATAATCACCCACACACAGACCCGGCTTGGATATCCATTTTCACCATGCAAGATCATCTTCATTCGTTCCATAAATCGATACAAACTTGGTACCTAAAAATACTCCTAATTCCTACGAATCCGTCGATGTCAAGATCGTCCCAATCGGTGGAGATTTGGTGGAGTTAAGTGTTGGGGAGGTTGGCCACAGCGACATGGGATCTGGTCATGTGCAGGCATGGGAAGTTCAATTTAGGCAAGCGGGAAGTCAGAAAAGCATGCTTCACACATTCCCAAGGCATCAAATAAATTGGGAAAAATGTTCTTTAGCTGCGTAAAGGTTATTCCCAGCCACATTTCCAGTTTCGGGTACTAATTTTGTGAAATCA